GATGTTATTATATAATTTTAAAAAGTTTTATTGTATTAAAAAAAACAGCAGTTTTTGATGATTATTTTGATATTGTTGTCAAGATGTTGGCTTTCTAGTAAATAATCTATATTAGAGTAAGATCCCAGGGCCACCAGACGTCACGTATTTTCTGACGAACGAAATGTAGACGATTAAGTAGTGTTAGTATGTACTAAGAACGCATGCCTACCTAATAGCTTGCTTAGACGGCCAATTTTCAGGTATCAGGTAATCAAGGTACATAAAAACATTACTTACCTCACGTAAATTCTCCAAGCTGAATATTACGTATATTTTAGGCAATATCCTAAAAAATACGTTGCCAATACTCCCAGACACTTTCCGTCGGCCGTATTGCTTTGCAGACGCTTTAAAGCTCCCAAAATAATGACTTAACTTCACGCAAATTCTGATGCTCCATTTTTATATATTTTCACCAGACAACTATTTTAAAACCTTTTACAAGAAGACAGACCGATCCAAGGGGCCAATTATCCCCTAAACTCAATTTTAATGCCTCTGTGGGTAGGAGCGCGAGGGCATTATTCACGCGTATGAGTCTGAGTGAGACATGTATTAGGATATATTGACTTCTCTTTCTCTCTCTCTCTTTCTCTCACTCTCTTACAGTTTACTCATATCAATTAATTATAAATATTTAGAAAAAAATCAGGTAAATAATTAAAAATTAACTTGTAAAAAAATTCTCATTTGACTACAATAATTCTAGAATTTTATCCTGAAAGCTGTTTTGATAAACTCGAAAAAACTTAAATTTTTTTTTTTATGTTAAAAACTCGATAGTGTTAATAAATTTATTGAATAACAGCAATTTTTTTAATTAATTATTTATTGGGAATTAATCATAAAAAAAGGTAGAAAAATATTATTCTCTCAACATTTCTGAGAAGAGCCTCTAATCTTTATTATCATCGTCATTGAAATTAGACAATTCATCATCCAGCCAATCATGATATTGAATATCTAAATCGTCATTGTCATTATCAGCATTATCCTTATTTCCTTTCACTGTAAAAAACAATTCAAACAATGAAGATCTGAAAAAACTAAAGAGAAAAAAAAATATGAGAAACGAAAATAAATTACCTGATTGTTCTTTCAGCGACTTACTGACAAAACCCGGTAATTGATCTCCACCAAACCAATGAAAATAATATGTACCATCTTTTAATGTCCAGCCATTATTTTCGGGTTTGAAAATATTTACCATCTTCATAGTTGCATTGTTCCAAAGACTAGTAATATAGTTAAGCCGTCGGGTCTGTTGCCAAAACTCACTTTTACAAGGTGGTACCAACCATAAGTTGGTAGCATCAAAGTTTTTCTAATTTTGTAACGTTTAAATTTGGCCTTATAGCGGTTTTTTATAAAAATAAGAATACACTAGTTTTTATCCGTGTTCAATAATTATTTAATGGGTCTTTCTATACCCGCATTTTTAACCACTGTGCTTTTGGTTCGATATTCGAACAGAGCGGTCCTTCTGTGACACTCTGGGTGAGCATGTGGCTGCCCTGTATTCAAGATGTGGGTCTAGCGTTTCCGTCTTGTCGTTAATTGTGAGTATATGATCAGTTTGGGGTAGATAGGACCTCTATTTGAGTTTAGTTAGGCTATTTATTTGGTTTTAGAGGTTTGTTTGGTTATTTTAGCCCTCTCTGTCAAGAATTTATTTCGTAATAGAGGGCGCTGATGGGACACCTATCTGTCACTGAGGTATGTTGGTATTACTTTTTTTTTTGAAGTGACGTTGATTTGCGGCTTCTGGAAATTTTCGAGATTGAAATTCGACACGAGGTTCAGATTCGGCACGTGAATTTGAAAGGTACTGTTTTCGAAATTTATTGGAAGTCGTTTAAATCCAATTGGAATATTACGAAGCAACCTTTTTGTTTTAAGTTACAACAGTGTGGATTTGGTAGTATTTTTTGGTGATCACATGTTGTAGGAGCTCTTAGGAGGATATATTTAACCACGTGTTGAATCTCATTAGTAAGTTTTTTCTACACAGTATTTCAAGTTACGGTGTAGTTATTCTTTTGTAAGACCTTCGTTCTTTTATTTTAGTGACCACATATATATGTAGTCTTTCTGAATAAGTCGTTCACGAATTTGCCGTTCCAAGCTGATCTGGTGCATAGTTTCTTCCTCCTTTGCGGATTAAAAAAAAAGGGGTTCTTGTGACGGGCCACTATTCTTGTGACGGGCCAGTATTCTTGTGACGGGCACACACTTCTTGTGACGGGCACACACTTCTTGTGACGGGCACACACTTCTTGTGACGGGCTGATACTTCTTGTGACGGGCTATCAATACTTGTGAAAGCCAACACTTCTTGTTACGGGCCAGTAGTCCTTGAGAAGGGCCAACACTTCTTGTGACGGGCTGACTAGCACATATTGTGACCAGCTGATTGATTCGTATGCTGCTAACGAAGCAGAGACATCAACGTCTACTGGAAAAAAGTGTACCGCAAGTTTTTGCTATTTTATTTTTATATTACTTATTACTATTTAATCTATTTTATTGGGGGGTGTTATTAGTACGTACAGTTCATCAAATTTCTAGAGGTGTTCGACGCCCAGACAGAGAACGCGCTACGTGTGACTAAGATAGCTATTGCACAGTCTGCTAAACAAGTTATTTTAAATAGTTTTTAATATTTTTAGGTAATTAAATTTTAAAAGTGTGGAATAGTTTAGGGATTAAATTGGTCTGATTGGACTTTCTTAGAACGTTTTTAAAAGCAGCTAAAGATAGTATGTAGAATTGAAAATAATTATTATGTCATAAAAGGTGTTTTGGAATTCCTTCAACCTTTTGAAATTAAGTCAGAAAATATAAATTTTATAGGATAGCGGAAAATACCTATAATTTTTTTGTAGGCCTTTGTAAATCGTGGAAATAGTTTATATTTTATTTCTACCTTATTAAGGAAAATGGTACCTATTATTAATAACGGTTGTTTCTGAAACATTACTAAAATTTTCGAAATTTTGTTTTTCTACAAAATAATAAACTATACTATTTAGAAAAAAATTTATTTCTCTTATAATTTTATAAAAAATAACAGGGGAATATTTACATTTCTTGATCTATTAAACAAAACGATAAATTATCTCGACGAATGACACCATGTTCTAGTACGGAAGCTAGCTTTACATTTTTGTTGGTGGTTTCATGGGTTTCATATCAATTTTTTGTAATTGTAGTTTACACGTACATATACCTCTTAACACTTGTTTGCTTTATTAAAAAAGTGTGTTGTTGTGATTTACGTCGAAATAAGTCAAAAACAACTTGAAACCCCATATAAAATCAAAAAGGAGAAACGGAAAAAAATTGAGCCTGTAAATGAACACAACTCAGAAACAAAAATAGCTATCTAATAATAAAAAAATAAAATTTGATTCTTGTGCAGCTTCATCTATATCATTAACTGTTTTTGGTTTTTTAATGGTTTTTCTTGGTGATGAAAATTCCGATATCTCACGGTTATCGATTCTTTTTTTCTCTCCAGAAATGCGGACGACAGTGTTTTTAGATACTCCTGTGGCTGCAGCAACACGATCATTTACATTTTTAAATGGTATTGAAGGTGCATTAAAGTTTCCTTCTCTTCTCATAAACTCTATAACATTGGCTATTATTTCGCGAGATTGACTGTTAATCACGCGGCCTCTTAATTTGCTATTAAACTCCATACTTAGGTTCTATTAAACTGTAATGAGCAAAAAACACAAACGAAAATAAAAGAAATGTTTTAGCGAAATTTACATCTGACATTTACGTCTGAATGAAATAGTCAAAATACTTAATGCGCAGAGTGTACTTTCATTGCGTAAATCCGTCGGGATGCCTGTCAGTAGTGCTTTCTCTGTCTAGCCGTCGAAAGCCTCTAGAAATTTGATGAACTGTATTTTAATCTAAGCCTAATGTAAACGAGTTTTAGGGGGTGTATAGTTTACAGTACATTTTTATTAAACCCGATAACGTCACCAAGAGTTCTTCGTGGGTTATATTATTTATGGGTAATTAATATTTTTAATAAGTAACAGTATTTTACTTGTTTTTACCCCTAGCGTCCGTAAATAGTACCCTATTATTTGTTTATTTGTTAAATACAGTACACACCTCATATGTTATAGTTTTACGATTACCCCTAGTCCTATTTAATGATTTTTAAGTCTTATATAGCGTTTAAATGTAAATATTACTCCCAGTGATACTGGATTACTGTTGATAGTTGGGAAATCTAATAGTAATGTACTAAGTGATTTAGATGTTATTAATTTGGTAAATATTAGTATATTTCATAGTGTGAACGAAGTTGACCCCCCATGTCAACTCGATTTATATATTAATGTTATTAAACTTGGGTATATATTGAACTTAACTTATCATTTATCCCCACTTGCTAACTGTCAACATTTATTTTTATGGAAGTACACTTTTAATATATTAGGAGCATACTCGATTTGTAGCCGCTTAATGGCCTTGTAGAGGAGATGCTATAGTTTCCTCTTTAGAGTTTGGTAGTGAACTGTCACATGGATTGTTGGATGTGAGGTTAAACTTCTGGCGCCCACTTAAAAAACATCACTTTTTCTACGACTCACCCCCTTCTTCACTGTAGTTAGTCGGCATCCAACTTTGGATTGACATAAATCCCACCTCAGGTGCTTAGGCACAGAAAGTAGGTAGCATTTATTTTTGGCGCCCAACGTGGGGCTCGTTTTTTTTGCTAGCAAATTTTTCCGATTGAATTCTTCATTAATGTCAGAAACCATAAAATTGTTAATAAATAGTTGGAGTCTGGCAGCATCTACATCAATTATTCCAGGAACGTTGTATAAATCACAGATAAATTTTTGTATTATACTTAATACACGTCCTTCTTCATCTACATCACCAACAAAATCCAAGGAACCAAAACGGCGAAATGCTTGTTGGTATTCTTAATTTTTCTTTAAAATAATGTACGGCATTTGTTTGCCTTTTTTGAAAAATGCTGGATTAAAATCACATCCTCTATTAGCATGGAATGCTGGTAAACTTCGACAAAACGACGGCGACGGTCCGAATTGTTCGCAGATAGTATTCAAATCAACATACCTCTGCTTGTTACCAGTGCTGGTTAAAATCCAAATGTGGGAATCACCATTTTTCAAATGATGTATATTTCCCAGTATTATGGCTGCTATATCAGTATCTGAGCATCGTATCACAAAATTAGCCTGCGCATCGATGTTGCATACATGGTACACGATCTTTGTATCAGCTTCCTCATGCTCGGAACACGATAAATCTTCATGGATTTTAGATATAACTTTATTGTTAATCATGATGAAAGAGTGGCATTTTCGAAAATTTATAAAAATGTTATTATTGCCAATGAATGGAATCATCTCATTAGTAGCCCAGTGTAGTATAAAAAATTCAACAAGAGACTGTTTGAAATGGATGTTTTTTAATTCTTTCGCGAAATCTGATGGACAAACTTGATCTGGTCCAGTAATGTTGAATTCTAGTTGTGATAACTCATGTCGACGAGATCTTTCTTAATCTTTTATAGAAGGGAAAAAAAACTGGTCAAAAATGACATCATATCTCGTTGCTTTCAATTGGGTCACCATTTGTAAAAAAAATTTAAAGATACTCCCAAATGTTTTAGGCACATTTTTCATGGTATGAAGCAAGAAAAAACCACCAGTAATCAAAACATCAATGCGAGAAGGAGGATCGATCGTGTTGTACGCCTTTTTCCAAAGATTTCATTAATACGGATTTTTAAGTCTTACAAATACCACCCTCAAAATGTCACATGGACAATGGCATTTGAGTAATGGGGTATGATAAGATTTTGGACATATCCACTTTGTGATCAATCGATATACCAAGCATTCACCCCAACAGATCTCTCTGAATACGTACTTCCTGCACCTTGCCACCTACCTTCGTTTTTATTGTCTTATTAACATAATCTACAGAAAAGTTTTCTAGTGTTACTTTTTTATGCTCTTTCTAAATCTATTTTCATCCTCTTTACATTCTGTAATGAATTTTTGACGCCGTATGTCACCATTTTTTTCAAAAATGCTGGATTAAAATCACATCCTCTATTAGCATGGAATGCTGGTAAACTTCGACAAAACGACGGCGACGGTCCGAATTGTTCGCAGATAGTATTCAAATCAACATACCTCTGCTTGTTACCAGTGCTGGTTAAAATCCAAATGTGGGAATCACCATTTTTCAAATGATGTATATTTCCCAGTATTATGGCTGCTATATCAGTATCTGAGCATCGTATCACAAAATTAGCCTGCGCATCGATGTTGCATACATGGTACACGATCTTTGTATCAGCTTCCTCATGCTCGGAACACGATAAATCTTCATGGATTTTAGATATAACTTTATTGTTAATCATGATGAAAGAGTGGCATTTTCGAAAATTTATAAAAATGTTATTATTGCCAATGAATGGAATCATCTCATTAGTAGCCCAGTGTAGTATAAAAAATTCAACAAGAGACTGTTTGAAATGGATGTTTTTTAATTCTTTCGCGAAATCTGATGGACAAACTTGATCTGGTCCAGTAATGTTGAATTCTAGTTGTGATAACTCATGTCGACGAGATCTTTCTTAATCTTTTATAGAAGGAAAAAAAAAACTGGTCAAAAATGACATCATATCTCGTTGCTTTCAATTGGGTCACCATTTGTAAAAAAATTTTAAAGATACTCCCAAATGTTTTAGGCACATTTTTCATGGTATGAAGCAAGAAAAAACCACCAGTAATCAAAACATCAATGCGAGAAGGAGGATCGATCGTGTTGTACGCCTTTTTCCAAAGATTTCATTAATACGGATTTTTAAGTCTTACAAATACCACCCTCAAAATGTCACATGGACAATGGCATTTAAGTAATGGGGTATGATAAGATTTTGGACATATCCACTTTGTGATCAATCGATATACCAAGCATTCACCCCAACAGATCTCTCTGAATACGTACTTCCTGCACCTTGCCACCTACCTTCGTTTTTATTGTCTTATTAACATAATCTACAGAAAAGTTTTCTAGTGTTACTTTTTTATGCTCTTTCTAAATCTATTTTCATCCTCTTTACATTCTGTAATGAATTTTTGACGCCGTATGTCACCATTTTTTTCAATATAAAGGAGAAATTTTTCTACTTTCTTTGAGGCCGCTTTTCCAGATGAAATATTTAGTAAAATATCTTAAGGGATTTCAGCACTGAACGGATTAATAAATTGGTTAAATGTGTTAGCAAATTGTTGCAATTGCTTGCTATTATTTTTCATATTATGATTTGATAACTCTGCTGTCACATCTTGTTCTTTTTGCAAATTTAAATTTTTATATACACTACTAATTACAGTTGATCTTATATCATGACTTGTTGACGTGCTGAGATGAAATTGGTAAATTGTATTATGCCTGAAAAAAATATAATTTTACAATGTTAAAAATTGTTTACGTGTGTTGTAAATTAATTGTGCTTGGAGTTTATTACCTGTAAGTATCCTGGCTGCATTTGCATTGATTGTTTGTTCCAGTACCAAGTCAATTGGTTGCTTTGAGGAAGGTTCATTATTTTTTATTTAATCCTGTAAATGATTTATAACATTGTCTGTGATAACCACTTTCAAATAAATCACCCGGCAAAACGTCTTTAAATTTAAGGTTATGTTCTATTCTATATTTTAAAACTACTCGACAGTTTTTTAATGTTTCTTCCATGAAAAGTATTAAATTTACATCAGAATATTTACAAAAAACACAATTTGATGGAGAAGCCATTATATTTTTTTTAAACACTGAAAATATTTGTATTTTTGTCACACACGTTGTTACTGAAATGACAGCTACACTCAACGGACACAGTAGATCACTGAATACTTTTCTTGTGAGCAGTTTTGCCAGATAAGGTAATTAAAAATGCGGTAGCAGTGTTTTAAAAACGCGGATTTTCACTAAAAAAAGTGGAACTTCATATTAAAATATTTGTTTACATTGATTTTGCATTCTTACTTCATATGATAACCAAGGGAAAAGCGGTGCACTACTTGTGAGTGAATTTAGCTGTTGGCCCGAAGGGGGCCTTGACATCGCAATCTGTCTCACTCAGTCTCATGCTCGTAGATAATGCCTTCGCGCTCCTACCCACAGAGGCATTTAAATTGAGTTTAGGGGATGATTGGCCCCTTGGATCGGTCTGTCTTTTTGTAAAAGGTTTTAAAATAGTTGTCTGGTGGACATATATAAAAATGGAGCATCAGAATTTACGTGAAGTTTAGTCGTTATTTTGGGAGCTTTAAAGCGTCTGCAGAGCAATACGGCCGACGGAAAGTGTCTGGGAGTATTGACGACTTATTTTTAAATATATTTCCTAAAATATACGTAAAAATCACCTTGGAGAATTTACGTGAGGTAAGTAATGTTTTTATGTACCTTGATTACCTGATACCTGAAAATTGGCCGTCTGAGCAAGCTAGCAGGTAAGCATGCGTTCTTAGTACATACTAACACTACTTAATCGTCCACATTTCCTTCGTCAGAAAATACGTGATGTCTGGTAGCCCTGGGATCTTGGACTATATCTATAGCAAGTTCTTCCAGAGACTTCATATTAATATTAATTTTCGGTACAAACCAATATCTGATTAAACAAGATTTGAATAAAAAAACTTTAACAATAATTTAACAACCGTGATTAGAAGGACTATAAATAATTTCTTAAATAGATTTTGACATTTTACCAACAGAAATCCAAAGGATTAGAAATAGGAAGGAGAAAAATGGAAGTGAAAATATAAATTAAATTAATATGTAAGTGTGTAACTCTCTTATATTTTGTAATATCATATGATATTTTTGTATTAAAGGCCTGATGACGGCCATGATAATTTTTTTTTAAAAATAAATTTGAAGTAGATTTAGTGTTTTATTTTTCATATTGAGTAATTGAAACACATATAAGTTAAACAGAAAATATTTTATCATTTTATAAAAAGTTGCATAATTATGCTACATAACTTACCGTTCTATTTCCTAAATTTCTGATTCGACAACCGAGGTACGTCGTTTTTCCTACTAAAGCCGTTACATTTTTTGCAGCACTCATATCGAAATATGGCCCCCTATCTATTACTAATGGTTCCATCTCATTATCACTAGAAACACTGTATTCGCTATAATGTCGTTTCATCCTGCTCCAGCCTGAAAAAGAAACAAAAAAATAGTATTAATAACGTTACTGAAATGAGAAAAATTAAATTTACAATAAAGAATAAAGGAGCATGTCTATACTGCCGTCATAAGAAAAAAAACACGTATTCGACAAAATCTAAAATTTAGAAAAATGGAGGGTAAAGATTTAGATCATAAATACAATAGAAATACATTTTTTTAGACAACAACTTTTGGTGACTAAATTTACATACCAAAAAAGCAAATAAATGAGAATAAAAAACTAATGATCAAGCAAGAAATGTCCGTTTTATAACAAAAAAATAAAAAATACGGCATATTTAAATGGAAAAAATATTTATAATACTAAACAACAAACACGTAATTACAATTTGCTAAGGAAAAACTGCGTATAACGTGCATATACGCAGTTTTGCCTTCGAAAAATGTAAATATAGGAACTTCGGTTTGTAGTTAATACAAAAAATTTTAGCCTTTAAATAAATTTATTTTTGTGAATGTTTTATATTTTTAATTTTTGTGATTCACCAAACAGACATTTTTTATAAAATGAGACAACCATAATAAAACCAATGCATATAAAATTGAAACTTATTTATTAAAAAATATTTAAAAGTACAAACGATAGTTTTTAATTTAAAAGTAACAAATACCTAATTCCTTTATTTTAACAAATAGGAATATTTTGCCAAAAAGATAATCTCGTGTCTGGCATTAGTGGACCCAAATTTTTTATAATCGACTCTTTTTTTTCGGCGCTTATTCCACACGGCGTATTGCGAAACTTTGGCCGCATAAGATTAGGATTCTTTTTAAATCTTTCTTGCAAAATATCAACTTCTGTAAACGCACTATTTTCAAAAGTTCTGTATTCGAATGAAAGTTTCCCTTTAGTAAATATCATTTCGGAAACGTCTCGTAAATAAGGCCTAGGATTTAATCTATTTATCTTTGTAATCGAAGAACAGTTTTTCCAATCCGCAATTTCATTAATGTTAAGACATTTAACTGTTACATGGCCTTTATTTGCACTTTGTACTGCTGCAGAAAAATCGCTGAAATCGTAAGTTTTTTTCTGTTTCTTCAGACTTAATTCAACCTGGTGGTGAAAGCTATCTGCTGACATGTAACTGTGTCCAGGTTCAAAATATTTCATATGTATTTTTTCTGTACCAAGTTCTTGACTGTTAATGAGAAAAATTAAAAAAGTTATAAATGCCCAATTTTTGTTTTGGCTGGTACAATTATCGGTCCACATTACAATTTGGTTTATGTCCCTATTAGTACTGAAAAACGCATGAAATGCACTAATAATTTCTTCCTGCTTTCTTCCTGCTATACCTTCATGCCATAGAACTGCCAACGGAAAATGTTTTTTTTGTGACCCAAGAGAAACAAAACTTTCATTATATACACTGATTCTTCTGGTAAAGAGGATCCTCTTATACATGTCAATTCTCGGTAACATGATAACTTTCAGCAGGTCAGCAGAAATTGCTAGAAAATTAGTTTGGTTGGGTTCTTGATTATTTGCAATTGCAACATCCTCTTGGTATGCCATCCTTGTGTATTCCACGAATTTTAGATGATCTTTCCATAGTTTGCAGGTTTCACAATCATTATCTAAAGATTGTTTCGTATGAGATGTATTATGAAAAGAATATTCTTCACATTTTTCGCAATCTTCGTTACCCAGTTTTGTAAAAGCAATATTCATTTTTTTTACTTCTGTTCTGTATAAATCATAAGAACATGAATAATTAGGAAATTTTTCTTTAAAATCATTATGCATCAGAGTAATGTTAATGTCGCTTGGAAGATATAGTCTAGAAGGTGCATGTTCTCTTCTGTAGTGCGAGTTTAATGGGTGAAAGCTCATTATGTGTGTTTTAATATCATCTCTAGGTATTTTTTTGGTACAGTATTTTTTTCCTCTTCCATCTTTAATGTTTAACGTATCTGGCAAGGATTTACGACTGTAGACACTACTAACTATCCAATCGCAATGCCTTTTATAACCCAGAGTTGTTAGGAAAAATGTTTTGCACACGTTTATTTGAGAATCATCCTTGTCTTTAAAAAAATATTTGAAGGTAGACATTTTTTTATAACAATCTTCAAAGTTTTGTTTACTTCGCCTTTTTACTTCATTTCTGGAAGAGTTGTGCAAAACCATCATTTTTTGTTCATGCCAAGATAATTTCCAGTAATGTTGATTAATACATTGCCGTCTTTCTTCAGGTATTAATTCAGAACACATACGTTTACATGTTGACTTACAACCAGGAAGTACATTGTGTTGGTTAGCTCGCATCTTCATCTTTTTTATTTTGCGCTTGGATAGGCTCTCTGGATACAATTTTCGTTTTCTTTCCGTACCACGTTTTGTTAGAGTTGTAACTGTATTTTCGCGAGAACTTGCTTCCGAATTGGAAGTATTTTCTTCTCCTGCCTCTGTTGCCTGACTGTTTTCCTCATGAATAATAGTAGGTTCTACAGTAGTTAGTCTTATGTCTTCTGCATTATGTTCTTTACCTTGTCTAGAATCTACAAAAAAATGTATATCAACATTTTTTAAAATTCGTTGAAAAATAATTTTAACATTTAAGAGCTCTTGTTATTTTCATGTTCGTGTTATGATTTCGAAAACACTATTTTATTATTTATAAACTTACCATCATTAAATGTATCACTGGAACGTGAGTAAACAGTTTCATTAACTTGCTGAATTTCATCACCCTGTTGAAGTAGATCTAAAAAATACAAAACTATTTTCAAGGGGCTCTAATTTCATTATTCAAACAACTTACCAACATTAAATATATCACTGGAACGTGAGTGAACAGTTTCATTAACTTGCTGAATTTCATCACTTTGTTGAAGTAGATCTAAAAAATACAAAACTGTTTATAAGGGGTTCTTATTTCATTATTAAAAAAACTGACCATCATTAAATGTATCACTGGAACGCGATTGAATTGTTTTATCAACTTGCTGAATTTCATCACCCTGTTGAAGTAGATCTAAAAAATACAAAACTGTTTACAAGGGGGTTACTACTTGCTCAGTATTATTACTATTCAAAGGGTTCGTTATTTAGTATCCTAATATTATGGTGTACTTACATTCCGTTGGGAAGACGCAAAAGCTTTCCGTCATTTTAATAAATCCTACATCGTTTTCTTGTGTTGATTTAATTTTTGCGGCAGGGTCATCTTGATTAAGACCTATTATGGAAAACATGACTCAGATACAAATGCTTTGAAAATTGTGAATAATTTGTGAAAAGTTTATTAAAAATAGTACTCCTACTACTCGTACCGGGTTGTAAAAAATAAAAAAGGATTTTGAGTACAATTTTTTTGGCAAAAAATTCAAAGAAAAAAGAGCATTTTGTAGGAAAAATTTGTCCTTTTTAATGACACCAGTGCGGTCATGACAAACCAGAGAAATCGTAGTTTGTTTAAAACACAGTTTACAAAAAAAAAAAATAACGCGAAAGCTTCTTGGTCTTTTATTACTTCCTGAGATATAGCCTGCGCCTTTTTTTATTTGTAGACCCGGTACAATCCTACAATTTAGTGTAAAATAGATATTGTTACTTACTATTTAATACACAGGAAAAACTTTCTGTAGCAATATTTCCAATTTCCTGATTGTCTTCGGTAAAAATTGGTAAATATGACAACGATTTATTTATGGTGTTTTCTTCAATTGAAACCGAATTAGAAACATTTTCGGCACAATCGTTTTTGGGTCCCGCATTATTTAATGCCAAGCTAATCAAAAGTTTTCCACGATTCATTTTAATAAAACACTAATTATTAAGCTCAAAGCTCAAAGAATATTAAATACGTGCGCTCCGGGCGACAGGTCACTTAAAAATATGGAGGTTGTGACAGGAAAAAACCGCGGATATATTCAATGCTAAGCAACAGCCACGTAAACGCGCGCCTACTAAGTAAAAACTACGTATGCGCTTCGTTTTTACGCGGGTATTTCTTAGTATTTAGTAAATACGTGGTTTATATTTAGTACGACTACTCAATGAGGTGCAAATACGTGAAAATAACAAAGCGAATTTATTACTTCCAGAGCAATATACGCGATTTTTTCTTCGTCAACATGTCCAGAAAGCTATTTTAAAACATAGGAAATAAATATCTCAATTTTGGAAAAAATGTCGAATACGTGTTTTTTTCTTATGACGGCAGTATAAATGTCAATTTTACAGGTGACACAAAAAAAATATTGTGATTGTTTCACTTTTTTTTTTGTGTCATCGGCATCAACTGCTACGGTTATTAGCCTCGTGTTCTGTATAGGCGTTGTTACTGTTTCCCAGCGTAGGAACAGCACTGTTAATTAGTACCCAATAGTGAATGGTCGAGTGGGGAATCCTACCAAGGCATCAGAATTAATTTTAAATAATTAAATTAAATGAAAAAATTCCGGCCAACGGTGAGATTTGAACCTGGGACCCTTGGATCCGTAGGCAGAGACTCTACCACTGAGCCACCCACCCCGTCGATTGTTTCACTTATTATTTTTTTTTGTGTGTCCGGCTTCAACTACTATGGTTATTTTGCCTCGTGGTCTCTGTAGGCTTTGTTACTGTTTTGCAGAGTCACTTTTAAAACAGCACAGTTAATTAGAACCCAACAGTGAATGGTCGAGTGGGGAATCCTACCAAGGCATCAGAATTAATTTTAAATAATTAAAATAAATAAAAAAATCCCTGCCAACTGTGGGATTCGAACCCAGGACCTATCATCAATTTGGTTCAAAATTAATCTCGTATTGTTGCCTCTTTGCTATGAAATATGGACCTTGAAGTGTTGTTATTTTTAGGATTGCTAACAAATACTGAGGAAAAAATATACCAAGAATTGCTAATTGAGAATTTGCCGATTTGGATAGAAAGTGACTCGTACGACGAGTAGCGGAGCGCGAGCCATCTGTCGAAATCGGCAACGAACGTTTCGCTCAAAATGCAGAAGATTTTTTCTACGATCACATTATTTTAAGAAATACATAAAAACTAAAAATGTATCGTAACTAGTGTATAATGTATTGCCTATATCCTCCTTTGGATATTCAAAGTGAATGAATAATAAAAAAAGAAAACATGTAACTCCACGTGGGTCGGATTCCATGTAAATAGTTGGTAAAAAATTTGCTTGACCTCAACAGTAGCGCGCTAAACGCTTACGGTTGAACTACACCTGTCAGTGTCGATAAAGTAGAAAACTACTAAATAAAGCGAATTTAAAAGTGGCGAGCTTCATAACTTAGATATTTAAGCAATTTAAAGTAACATTTTCCTATTTGACAACTTTTACTTACGACTAATAAATGAACAATAAGTTTAGTGAATTTTTGTTGTAGGTAAATGTTGAAAAATGGAAAATGTCACTTGTTTCAGCTGAAAAATAAAATTAGGTAACAAATAAAACACATTTTTAACAAGTTTAATTTATTTATAAACACCATGTAATTACATGTGTCTCATTATCTACTAACTGCATATTCTGAACATATTATAAGCACTATATCACATACTAAATCACTGAAAAATAAAAATATAATATGATAACCAACAAAGCACATGACAATGATTTTGTTATTAAATAAACCGGATATAGTTTTTTATAAAAACTCAAAGTAATCTAATATATAAAATTCTCGTGTCAAGGTGTTTGTAATTAAACTCCTCCGAAATGGCTTGACCGATTTTCGTGAAATTTTGTATGTATATCGGTTAAGTCTGCGAATCGGACATCTATTTTTCATCCCCCTAAATGTTAAGGGTGGTCCACCCCTAATTTTTTTTTTTTTATTTTTTAGACAAAATTTATTGTTATTATTTTTTTATGATACAGCATACAAAAGTACATACAATCCTTAATTTTCATCTCTCTACGATCAACCCCCATTTATAGTTAACATATTCACCTCTGCTAAGCAAAACATTTAATGCTCATATTAATGTTGAGTCATGCAGTTCGGTGAAGAGTATCAAATATATTTGCAACTATGTGAATAAAGGAAGTTTTATGGCTGTATTTAGAATTGAAAATACTAATGTAAATGCTCCTTCGTTGAATCAAAATGATGAAATTACGAATTGCTAAATTGGCCGGTATATCAGTTCCAATGAAGCTTTTTGACGTATTTTCGGTTTCCCAATTCATGAACGGGAGCCAGCAGTTATCCATTTAGCTGTCCATCTTGAAAACGGTCAGCGCGTATATTTCACGAAAGATACAGCCCTTGATCGTGCTATAAATCCACCAAAAACTACGCTCACCGAATTTTTTGAACTGTGCAATCATGCGGATGCTTTTGGTGCCTTTGCACAAACACTGCTCTATTCTAAAGTTCCACGATATTTTACATGGGCTCAATCAAAAACATGGATGCCCCGCAAGCAAGGGATACCAGTTGATGCGTGCCCCGGTTTATTCATATCAAATAGTTTGGATCATGAATATACAGTCAATCCAAGGCAGACTGAGTTCTTTTATCTGCAACTGTTGTTGGTTAATGTCACCGGACCATTGTCATTTTAAGATATACGTAAGGTAGATGAACAACAGTATCCAACGTATAAAGATACATGCCTTGCTCTAGGCTTGCTAGAAGACGACAATCACTGGACATAATTTCATTGTTTACAACGCTTTCGATTATAAGTACTGTAACGGTTGAAACCATTTTCGTTATTTAGACCCAAACATTGTAACGGTTGGAGCCGTTTTCGTTATTTTGACGCAAACATCTCTACCCTAATGTCATTTGTCGTTTATGCCTTGTGTCAAAAGTTGATAATTCATTTCGATTTATATCTGTCAACGAGGAAGTTGATTTTAATTTTTAATTATCTTTTATCTTGGATATCCGATGTACTAATTGTCTATTAATATTATTAATGACCGTCTGATTTTATAAGCCTGGCTGTACCTAGATGGTTCTGTAGGAGTTATATCTAAAGAGATTGTTTAGATGTTCAGAAGTTTAGAAGAAAGTTCAAGCTACATGTTTAGATGTTTAGAAGTTTAGAAGAAAATTCAAGCTGCATGTTTAGATGTTTAGAAGTATAGAAACTCAGAAGTTTAGTTCCAGCTACACAAGTTTATTTCAAGTATATCAAGAGGTTTAGTTCGAGTCATCTAAAAAAAGTTTATTTAAGTTTACCTATGAAGATTTATACCTAAGAGTTGGTGATATCTGAAGTGTATCATACGAATCCCCTTGAAGGCCTCTACAAGTCTCTCCTTAACTACTACCTCTTGTTCACAGATAAGTCTTGAATAAATCATTTAAATTTGAATAAGTAAGTCTCTGTGAATTAGAATTTGTCGCTACCTTATCTGAAACCTTATTTAATTATAATATCTTAATGGTTAGTGATTTTCTATATTTTTATCATTAATCGATAGTTAAGTTTAGTAAGTTTTAAATATAGTGGCTCCCAACATTCTTTTTTAAAGTAATACGAGTTATTTAATAACCTGACCCACTCCCCAAAATCATAAGAGCTTAAAACACTATAAAAATGGATAAAATAACAAGATCACGTTACAGTACATCCCGGCACACTTATAGTAGATAGTTATTTTTATTGATCTAAAAAAAATGATTCTTAGAAATAATATACAAGGCATAACAACGTTTGCCGGGTCAGCTAGTTAATTTATAAAAACAATTGTTTTAAATATCCCTAATTCTGACTTACTAATCCAAGGACAAATCATTCTAATTCTAACATTCTTATACTTATTATCCCTTTACGGTCTTTACCCATGTATTTTAGTCTAAAGTAGTTGTAAAGCCTATTTCGGGTACAATAAGCTTTCAGCTTCAGTAAATGTGGGCTTTGAAATACACCCCGATTCAGATATAAATCTACATATCCAGGAATATCTAAAACAAAACAAAAATAAAGTGTGTATCTTAAAATTAAAAATTAACAGTTGAAACTTTTTTAAATTCTTACATATTTTCTTGCAATAATAGGTATAAAAATTTCAATAAAAATAGAAAACATATGATTTATGCTCTAAATAATAGATGAACGATGCAAAAATTAATAAGTGGACATAAATATCATATTAGTTTTTGAAAATATGTCCATATTTGGGTATTATTTGATAAATATAATAATGAATGTCACCCAAAAATTGAACAATAACTTTTTGAGCACAAATCAATCGCCTTTTTTGATCATGGTCTTTATAAGTAAAACTATGATGAGATTCTATCTCGGATTCTCGAGTTGGTGGTGTAGCGGTCTAACGCGCTTATATTCATTTATAAGCAAGTTTATGTATCAGAGACTGCTGGGCTTCGAATCCCAGATCAGACCATGTGGATTTTTAATTAAATTGCAGGGTTCGGTGTAGGATTTGATGTGTGCCGTATTAATAGAAATTCAATTTCTGTTGATATGAAATGCAGATTATAAAAAATCGCCATACATTACCGTCTCGATGACGGTGGGTGAGGTTTTCCGGGTTTTCCTCACCTGTAAGTCAAATGACACCAACAATCATCTTTAAGTCGCCCCGGAGCGCCACGGCAAATAATAATAATAATCGTCCCTTTCCACGCACAAGCTCAGCTTTTGGGGTTAAAATTCACTCGTAAGGGGGTGAATTAGGGAGAGTATTATTATTATTATTATTATTATTATTATTATTATTATTATTATTATTATTATTATTATTATTATTATTATTATTATTATTATTATTATTATTATTATTATTATTATTATTATTATTATTATTATTATTATTATTA